CACGTTTTATACTTGAATTCACATGGCTCAGATCCAGCCGTCTAAGTAGGACTTCTCTACATGGAACTTGGGCTTAATTAGAGCTAATTGAGCTGTCATCCTGCCCAGAACAGTTCAGAGGTGAAGAAACTGAAGGTGAGGAGTAATCACCATACCCACTCCACTCAGCCTCAGTGAGGCTCTTTAGTCCCAGTGAAGGATTTGAGGATTGATTGTGTGATTTGCTCTCTCCCTACAAGGCATTTGAGTCTTGCTGCCTGACTTGCCTATGCTACTTTCTTTATCCATATCCTGGAAAGAGGAATACTGAAAGTTCCAGCAAACAGTTTTTATCCCCACTAAATGTCACGACACTACTGACTTACTGATAGTTTTCCACTTACTGATAGGTTTGTGTGCCCTACTTCCTCACTTTCTCCATCATCTCCTTAGATCTCCCTGCCGCAGACTTTCCCTGGCTGAGGGGTAGTGGCAGTAAGGGAAACACAATGCCTCCTGGCACCTTCAGAGCCTGTAGGCCTTGTCTTAGGTTTTGGAGCGTAAATGGGGAGTTGGCAAGTTGGTATGTTATTTGATTTATTTTTTTGTACTTGGACTAGAGATTCTTTGGCTTTGGGGACTGTGTCTTGTTGGTTTGCTTTTGATTGCAGCTGGAAGGGGAGCACAGGGATGAAGGTGGGCAACTTCACCTCTGTGCTCACATTCTTCTCCACCTTGTGAGCTCAGTGCTTTAGGGGGATGGGAAATGGGCTTTGATGGCAGGCTCAACAATTTACTAACAGGTACATTGAAATTTGGTGTTCACTTACGTAGTCTCATATCTAAGAGGATACAGCCACCCTCCCTTTTCTTAATTGAAGTGTAGTTAATTTACAATGTTGTGTTAGTTTTGGGTGTACAGCAAAGTATTTCAGGTATACATCTCTGTCTCTCTCTCCCCCCCCTATATATATATAATTTCTCAGATTCTTTTCCATTATAGGTTATTACAGGGCATTTAATATAGTTCCCTGTGCTATACAGTAGGTCCTTGTTGTTTGTCTATTTTATATATAGTAGTGTGTGTATGTTAATCCCAAACTCCCAGTTTTAGCCCTCCCTCCCACTTCTTTACCCTTTGGTAACCATAGTTTGTTTTCTATGTCTGTGAGTCTATTTCTTGTTTGTAAATAAATTTATTTGTGTCATTTTTTTTAGATTTCACATATAAGAGATATTGTATGATATCTGTCTTTCTCTGTCTGACTTATTTCACTTAATATGATAATTTCTAGATTCATCCATGTTGCTGCAAATGGCATTATTTCATTCTTTTTTATGGCTGAGTAATATTCCATTGTATGTATATGTGTGTGTATACACATACCACATCTTTTTTATCCATTCATCTGTTGATGGACATTTAGGTTGCTTCCGTGTCTTGGCTGTTGTAAATAGTTAGAGCCCCCTTTTAAAACAACAAAGTTTTTGTTTTTGTTTTTAGTACTTGGTATATAAAAGTAGAGACATTCCAGATGAATAAAATAGAGGATGATCATTTATGCTCACCAAAACACTTTAAAGATGTGTGTTGGAATTTCTCTTAATGCTGAGTGCTCCTACTATCCTTAAAATGATTCCCTTTTCAGAAATTTGGTTTTCCACACAACTTTTTGGAAGCAGGAACAACTAGTAGGAATTAAAATCGGGCGTATTTCAGAATCCTCTCCTCTGATGTTGTCATGCTGCCTCTGAGCAGCTTTCTCCTTCCTTGCTCCACAGCTCACAGAGAACTTAGGCCGTTCTGGGTGATAATAACCAGGGCTTGAATAAGACATTTATTCCTCAAAGTGCTTTAATTTGTATTATTTCATTTTATCCTTTCAGCTCTGAGTTAGGTAACATTAGTGTTGGAAATTCCATTTCACATTTGAGGAACAACTCAAACCATTTTACTCATAATTCCACAGTTAATGGTAGGACAGACTTTATTGTGAGTGCCCAGAGACCTACCCATCCAACTATTGCCCTTAGTGTCTCTTTGGGTCACTGCTTTTAGAAGGTACAAAAGGCTCAGGAGTCCATGATGAGTTGGTTTTGGACTTGAACCAAAGAGTTAATAATTCTCACGTTGCCTCTCAGGGCTGCACCCAGGAAGCACTTTAAGTTTCTGGTGAACAGTATGTGCCAGGAAGATTTGGAGGCAGATACTCTCTCCATTCAAGGAGTAACAATGCTTTCTCTACCTGAGTTATGAGCATCTGAGTGTATTGTTAAGAATCAAAAAGTTCCAAACATGGAAGCAAATCCATGGTGATGTGCTGGAGAGGGAGGAACCTTCAGACTAACACCTTCCTTACTGTGAACATGGTATCAGCTGTTTTCCAAAAGTTCTGCCTCAGCATTTGCTGACTTCATATTATTGTATGCAATGTTGCTTAGTCCCATTTTGATCAACGTGTAACAAACCTAGTTCCTCAGTATATGCCTTTACCTCTCTCTAGAATGAATCTGCACTTCAGCTTCTTTCTTACTCGAAATGTTGTTGGTGACAAATAAAGAGAAACTATGTTTAGGGTAACAGGTACTTTCAGACTAAAAATAAAGCAGTGGTTCTCATTAACCAAGGTCAGAGAGAATGTGTGTATAGTTTGAAAAGTTCCCTAAGACTCCCTTTACTATCACTAGTTGAAAAATAATGTATTGAAATCCACGTTCTACTAGATGCTGCTAAATACGGTAACAGCAGTATGAATTCAGGTGACTAAGTAGATAGGCTTCATCTACTATCCTAAGAGAAAGATCTTTGGGAAAGATAGCTATAACCACAATTAAAAAGACAAAACCTCTTGGTGCGCTCATTTTAGTCCAGGAGGCATTGTGGGTTACATAGTATGAGTTTCCTACTTAATGGGTAAGGAAAACTTAAAAGTAAAACTGAACTGCTTTTTTAGTTGCCCTTATTAACCCTTATCGACCCTTCATGAATAAGCTCATCTGCTCTCTTACTAAGATAGATGGCAGTTTAAGGGGAGGAGAACTGTTTTAGAATCAGAAGACCTGGCTTCAGGTTCTAACTCTTCCGTTTACTGGTTTAAGTTGCTTAAATTTCTGAGCTACCTTGTGGCTTCCGGGAAGGGGTGGTGATTAGCTTGAGTGAGATGGGTTAGTATCTTCTGTTTCTACCAAGGTACTCTATATGTATAAATGTAACCAACTTTAAAGGACTCCTAGTTATGGATGAGTTAACCAGTTTATGATAGACAGTTCGAAAAAGGGACAATAGAGTTAAAACAAGAATAGAGAGAGAATGTATATTTTTACTTTTTCATTCTGAAATAATTTCATACCCATAGAAAATTTGTAAGAATAATACAAAGAACTCCCTTATATCCTTCACCTGGATTCTCCAGTTGTTCACATTTTAACAGTGGCTTTTGCATTCATTGGAAGAGGATATTCAGCTGACATTTGGGTATTTACAGCATGCCAGGCATGTGCTTTTACTTGCTTTACCTCATGTACCAATCCCTTAATTGATAGTTACTATTATCTCCATTGTGTAGAAAGAAAAACAGGGAGGTTAGATCAGTTACCTGAGATCCCACAGCAGGTCAGTGGCCGAGGTTTGAAGAGTAAGTCCTTGTTTTTCACCACCTTCCTCCACAAGTAGATCTAATGCTTCGCATTCTAGCCCAAGGCCTTGCTGCTAACAGCGGTGGAACCATCGGCCATTTGTTTTGCAAGATTTCCTTATCTTTCCCTTCCGATCATGGAACCCAGTGTCTCTGGCCCTGACTTACCTCACTGTAGAATCAGATTACCTTCCATGAAGTATTCTGAGCTTTTTAACTACAGAGATGAATGTTTAATGCTAGTATTGCTGATTAAATGTAATTTGTTTAAGCAAAAATAAAGACTGAAGCTTGTATGCAGAGTTTGCAGTTGAATGTCATTGATGAAGTGAGAATGCCCTCCCTTCCCCAAACCCAGCTTCCATAGGAAATTGGTGGAACTGTCACAATTTGATTGATGGTCTGTTTTGCAAGGGTGTAAACCAGAAGAGTTTTTCCCTCTTGGGCAAAGCATCCATGGGTGCTGGACTGTTCTTTGCCCTAACCACCCCCTGGAGAACAACCCCCTCTTCTTCCTGTCTGATTCCAGGGGTATTGCTTCCAGGAGACCAGGGAAGATGACAGGGTTTAAGTCTTTAGATTATTTCCACTTTTCTTTGGAGTCTTTTTCCCCACCTTGTTTTCTTCAGAGGAATATCTCTTCTGAGTTTTGATAGAAGTAGATTTTCTAGAACCTTGAACTGAGAGTGCAAATTTGTGGTAGCTTATGGATGTGAGCAAGATGTGGCTGGCAAATGTGTGTTTTTGGCTTGACTAATGTTTAATTTTTTTTCATTAGTAGCCAACATTTAAAAGCCAGGTGATTTCACATAAAAACCCAGCTTTTGGCTTTTCTTTAAAAGAGAAAAAAAGGAAATATTTGAACCTTAATTTTAAAAGCTGGAAAAGTACAATTTGATGAGCTGGTTACTGGTGGGTTACCTTACCCTGGGTTACTGAAGAAGAGTTCTGCTTTTTGGGTAGGTAGAGGAAAACAGCTCATAAATAAGGTTGGAACTTATCCAAGATCATTATCACCCTTGGATAATAATGTCATTTCCATCATTATGGGGCCAGAGTGGCCCCTAGATGGTAGAGAGCGGCAGTATCTTCCTTTTTTCCCGGCGTAGTTGAGATTCAGGGCTTCACTCCCTGCACACAGGCAGCACTGCCAGCAGAGGGTGCTGTCCGCTCACCGAGCTTGCTGTCATTTTGGCTCAGCTGAGCAGCAGCTGTTGGGCATGGGCCCTGGGTCTGTGTGAGAGTTTGGGCATGTTCACTTGGTTCCCATCCCTAGTGCCCACCCCTTAGACCCTGGCCAGGTTATTGTGTCACTAGGGACTCTGTTCAGTAACAGGAAACTGGGGAAAGTTTAATTGTTTTCTCCTCTCTCTTTTTCCCATGCAGCTGAACAAAAGGTTCATCCTCAGTTTTCTCCATGCCCATGGGAAGCTGTTTACCCGGATTGGGTAAGTGTGCAGGATGTTTATTTTATTTTCCTACATTACAAGTCATTTTGGAATTTAATATTGTTAGCAACTAGACTGTGTTTGTAACTGAGGGCACAGGGTGTGAATTCTTACGGGCCTCCACCTTCTCTCCTCTTCCCTTCTTTCACTCTCCTATTGAGCTCGTGAAGTTTGGGAAACATTCCTCTCTAACCCTCTGGCTCCTCTTTCTCTACCTTTACTAAACCCCCCTTTTAACCACAATCTTTTCCCAATCCCTCCCCCTACTCCTCCACCCCTAATCCCTCTGGGTTTCTCTTCCCTCTGCCTTCCGGCTCAGCCCCTAGTGAGCTCCTCAAGGAAGTCATGCTTAGTCCCTGGGTGCAGCTGCCAGGGGTCCTCCTTGGGGGAAAACTGTCCACTAATTTTCCCTTAAAGAGAAGAGCAGCATTTTCTTTCTTTCAACATTTTCTCTTTCTTCCTCCTGTGCTCAGTTTTCTGCACCATATTGCTGATCTCAGTAAATGCTAAGACTTTTCTATGGTTTCACCATCCACCCTGGATTTCCATATAAATCTCTGGGAAGGTGGTGTGTGTGAGGCCCTGTTACTTGACCCATTAAATCTCGGAAAAGAGATCAAGTTTTGAGTATTCCTTTGGTGGATCAGAGTTTCTCCCCACTGTGTAAAGCTGGTGCTCCGATACTGAATGCCTCATCAGTCCAGGAGAGGAACGGGTGGCAGTGCCCTCAGGTCTTCTGTGCATTTTAACATTTTCTAAGTTGGAGGTTTTATTGTGAGCTCCTCTTTGAGGTGATTTGTTTTGGGTTATAGATCCGTCAGTTGTCAGTGTTTCCCTTTCACTTTCTGTCATAACCTTGTAAGTTTATCTGTGATGCTCTAGAAGTTTTCCTGAGTGGGAGAAGCTGAAAGGCTTTGTCCTGCTTGACGAAACACTGTTCATGGAGGGTGAACTAGAAAGTGTGCCTATTATATACTCATTTGTCATCAACCTGGGCAGGAGTGACAGGGATGGCCATAGTTTTGCTTTTGAGATGACTCGGGAAACTTGGAATAGTGCCAGTAAATGCATCTCCATTAGCAGAAGTAAGTGTAAAGTAATTCACACTGGGTGCATCAGTAGCACCCCCTTTCACCCCACCCTCACCCCAGCCCCATGTTAGCTCTACTCTGGCAGGAGGTTTTGCTTAACGCTGCTGTATCCGTGGTGTCTGGCATGTAATAGGTGCTCAGTAAATATTTGTAGGAATGACTGAATCATTACAAGAAATGGATAGATTGTGAAAGACTGGAGAGGAGGATCTAGTATCCTAGTTGGTCACAGTAGACCCAGTCCAGTCACTAGCGAGTAATGTAAAACTGCAGTTACAGGGTGGGTAAGATGATACCAATATCATTTCATAAAATAGCACATCGTAGCAGAAGTACTGTTATGCTGCACTTTAAAAATAGGTGCTGTGGTTCCTTATCTCTTTATTTTTTTTAATTCTCATTTTTAAAATCTTTCTTTCCCTTACTACTTTTCTAGCCACTATTTTCTCTCCTTTTTTCCTTTTCCTGTGTTTGTTCTTTAAATTTTTATGTGTTGTGTTTGCTCTAAGCCAGGACTTCTCAACCTCTGTACTATTGATATTTTGAGCCTTATAATTCTCTGTTGTAGGAGACTGTTTTGTGTAGGATGTTTAACAGCATCCCAGGCTTCTACCCACTACATGCCAGTAGCATTCCTTCCCCTCACCCCCAGTTATGACAGTTAAAAATGTCTCCAGACATGGCCAAATGTTCCCAGGGCCAAAATGCTCCTGGTTGAGAACCGCTGCCCTGGGTCTTTCTTAGTTTTGTTAAGAGACTTTTGGGACTAAAAAGGTTGTAAATCTCTGTCCAGAATATAGGAATATTTACAATATATTTTTTTATCAGGTTAAGCATTAGTTAGAACCTTATATTTTCCTCCCTTTTAAAATTCTCATGTTTGGATACATATATTTTTGGAGGAAGTTTGAGAAAGAACCACAATAATGATTAAAAAGCTATGAAATTATTTCTGAGAGGAAAAAATTAATCTTAAAAAAGTTAAAGTAAAAAAGGTTTGTTTAGAGACAGTTGTTGGGGTACCCTAACTGTGTTTAAATATGAAAGGGTCATAACCAGATAGTTCTGATTTCTGTGGGACAACAGCAAGAGAAAAATAGGCTTATGTTGCAGCTGGAGAGGTTTGGGTTAGGTGTAAGAAAATTTTGCACAGGGAAGATGTTCAGGAATTTTCTTCTCTGGAAGCCTTTAAAAAACGAATGGATTATTTCATTTGTCAGAGGTGGTTTGCTGTGGTCCAGGTTGTTTTTCAAGATCTCTTCCATTCCTGCATATAACATATTCTGTTGGCAAAAAGATAAGGCGAGTCTAGTTCCACCTTCATAAACAGTGAGTGGTAGTAGTGTTCACATGAGGAAAGTGTATGTAAATTCTAGGCACTCCAGCCCCTCCGTGAGTATTCCTCTTGTGCTCTCCAGGAGGTGCAAAGAGAATTGAGCCCCATATTTATTCTGGAAAGCAGAAACAGCAATAACTTTCCTATTGGAGAAAAAAAAAAGCATAGAAGTCTCTAAGACTAGAAAAGCAATGAGTCCAAGCCACACACAACAACGTGGACTGCTGCCTAATTACCAAGAAGATGTGAAGTGTGGGAGGCGCTGAAAACGAATTAAGAGTGAGGAGACTGTAATGGGGAGCAGCTGAAGACACATGCACTGTCCCGCCTGCCTGCTGAGCAGAGCCCAGGCGTGGCTGTCCCGGGCCTCGCCTTCTCTGTGCCCCGCGTTCCTGAGCGCATCAGTGTATGCTGCAGTGCCTACTGTGTGCAACATGGGAGGAGTCTCCTTCCTCTCAGCAGCCAGCAGAGAGGTTCTGAGCGTTAAAAGGAATCAAGTGCCAAAAAGAGTTTGCTTTTCTCTGCCGACTCGTTATAAGACCTCGAGAGGGAACAAGTCAAAGCCTCTGTGGGCTCCGGTTTCCTTATCAGTAGTTTAAGTAGATGATCTCCAAGGTCTGCTCCAGTCCTTATGTTCTGTAGCACTGTGATTTTTTTCTCTCATTGCTACCCTATCACACAGCATAGTTTTTTTTTTTGTTTTTTTTTTTTGCTACTGGTTCGCTCCTTTCTTGTTGAGTTTTTAAAAAAGAAGAAGAAAAGTTTTTAGGGAGCCTTATTCTTTTCTGCAGAGAATGTTGTCTGGCCCAGCCATGTTCCCCAGCATCTGAGAGGTTGGGTCCTGCCCCATTAGTCACTGTCTGAGTCACTCCCGGGTTCAGGTCCCAGTGTTGTCTGAAAGATTGGTTTCTTGAAACTGCCATTCAAATGAGACAAGGTGTCTCTAGAGATCACTTCAGAAAGCAGTCACTTAAGCCAGCGAAACGCATATCCTGAAAATGATCGTGTCTTCTTCAGTTTTAAAGGATAGGGACAGAATCCTCTCAGGCCCAGGAAGGGAAATCGGTCAGGGATGCCGTGTGGCTCCCGACAGACACTGGCTTTCCCCGGGAGAGGAAGATCAGACCTGCGCTCGGAGTCCACAGTGAGAAGTCGGGAAGCCGGCAGCCTGCAGACTTTTGATTTGTGACAAATAGAATAATTTTGCTTCCCATTGTAGCCTAGGTTAAAGTTACCACTGTAGTTTTTACTTGCTTCCTAGTCATGCTGTTTGCATAGCTTCAAGATCTCTTGGAATTCAAAGACTCGTATGTTTGTTTTGAACTTTGAATTGTTAAAAATATAATGTTTGTGTCTTGATTTATTTTTAAAATTGTTAGTGTATTATATACAAAAGTCAGAAGTATTCATTGTAGGGGAAATCTTTTTACTGTTTACAATGCTCATTGTAAAATATTAAGAAAACCCAGCAAAAAGAAGAGATAAAAAATTACCCTTATTCTTACTATCTAGAGATAACCATCCACCACTAACACTTGGTGTATATTTTCATCTTTTTTCCTATACACCACTCACACACATCCTCTTGTTTATTTTTTTACAACTACATATAGAAAGAGATCACATTAAATCACTACTTAAAACTGTCTTCATTTAGTATATGTTGAACGTTCCCTCACATGATTAAAAAAAATCTAATACAGCTTTTAAAAAATAGAATTCAGTGGTATGGATGTGCCGTCTTAATCATCTGCTGCTGTTGGGCAGTTTAGACTGCTTCCAATTTTCTCCTGTTACAAATTGTCATCTTTTTATGCTTTTTCTCTTCTGCTGCTACTGCTGCTGCTGCTTCTTGGCTAAAAGTTTTATAATTATTACATAAGTAATATATGAAATCTCCTGGTAAAAGTATAGCATTCTTTTCTAAAGTTTCTTTCAACTCTCTCCCAACCCCTGTGTCCTCCAAAGAGATAACACTGGGCATCAGGTTATGTGTTCTTCCAGACCTTTTTTACTACATTTACGTACTAACATATGTAGCCACAAAAACTGTCATTTTATTTTATGGGGTTTTCCTTAACAAATTGCATACTGTCATTATCTCAGTTTCAGTATAATTTTCATTCTGTAATACGGAGTAGAACAAAGAGAAAGAAGTAAAACTACTTACAGGTAATTTGAGTCCAAAATCAGACAGCATTTTAGTTACAAAATTGGGCACCAGAAACCCCGTTATTGCGCTCTGAGGAAGAACCTTTTATCTGTGCGTGCTTTAGTTGCTTAACGAAGCTGATTTTGTCTGAGAACTCTATCTTCCCTCATTTCTCAGAATTGAAGTTACTCTAATTTATATCCTTATGCATTTGATTTTTTTTCCCTTTTGTTTTAATCATTTTGAACTAGTTGAAAGGCGAAGGGGATATTTTTTTTTAAACTCTCAAAAAAAAAGATGTGGACATTTGGCCTGGTGCTCATTTGAGACTTCAGTCTGACCTAGGGAGTGTTAATGGATCTGTTTCAATTCCCATTCCAGGGAAGAGGCTTCCTCAGACACAGCCTCGAAGCAAGACTGTCCCACGTGACACTTCTGTCATGTCGTTCAGTGCTGGCTCTCTACCGCCTTTCAACACGGAGACACATGGCTCTGAAACTTGCCCAGTGTGGCTGATTTTCAAGCAGAGTGAACTCTGCTATTCTCGTAATGAGAAGTACTAGTCCCTCTCCCCACCTCCGACCAGAAAGAGTGCTGCACAGTGTCAAGATTTAAAATGAAACTTTTGTTTTAGCCCATGGGGAAAAATGGATCCAATCCAGCCCCAGACATATCACTCTCTGCCATTCCAAACCAACCAAGAGCTTTAATGGTTCTAAAACTTTTTAGAGGAAAAAAAAAAACACCAACCTGTGTTTTTGGTTATTTTGTTGTTGATGGTGTTGGGTGGGGAATGGCACTTGAAGTGGCATGTTGAGGGGAAGAAAGCAAATGCCTGGCATGTTGCGTGCCAATGAAAATGAGAACAGCTTGGCAGAGAAGGGCACTGGACTCTAAACTGTAATTGACCTGTAACTGTGGCATGACTTCTGAGTACCAGAAGGTCAGTTGTAGGAGTTGCCATCCAAGGGCAAGGAATGAAGATCACCACGATGCCAGAAAGCTCTGACGTTTTCTAACCTGGGGAGGGTACTACTCAGTGGGTTAAGGGCCAAGGTTCAGGTGAAAAGTAAAAGCACTTTTCACTAGGACTTGAAACGGTTTTGTATCTTTTGAAAAGGATTCCCTTCCCTGTGGCTTTCCAGAAGCTATTTATTAATCCAAGCTGAAGCTTCTCCTTACCCTACCCCTCAGTGTACCACAAGCAATTTGTTTGTTTTGGGCGGGGGGTAGGGCGCGGGTTTGAGGATGGATAAAAGATACTCTGCTGATCACTAATTGTTTGACATGACCCTGAGGCCCATGTGCCTGGTTTCTCTCTCTATTACCAAGTTTGAATTTGCTTTTTATTTCTGAGGACTTCAGCTGTGGTTTGTTCCTGTTGCCAGAGGAGCTGCAGGCATGCACCACTGTTTCTGATCCAGTGGCCACGTTTGGCAAGCAGCGGTTTGAATGACCTCTCTTTAGGAGCCCTAGGTCACTGGCTGGATTTCTACCTCCCTACGTTACAGGCTCTTCCTGTATTGGGAATGGCAGTTGGCCAGGGCATTATATTTCCACTGGCCTGAAAACATACAGACCCTGATGAGCAGAGGCTTGTGAGAGAAAGGGTGACAGCAACACAGAAAAGGCTGAAACAGATCATTGTGGCCCTAGGTCGAGGGATTCTTTCAGGGGAGATTTGGGATCCGTAGGTGGAGCAATTATTCTGATCATTTCTAAGTAGACAGCAGCAGAACCACGTCTGGTTTTCTGAAGTAAAGCTTTGAGTGAAGAATCTTTAGATTCACGAACCTCTTCATAGAGTATGGTTTTCATACCAGAGAGTTTGGGGAATATGCCGGTCCTAGAGCTTAAAGGAAATTTGTTCACGCTATTTAGAAAAACCGATTGTTTCGGAGAGAAACTTTGATTTCAGCTTGAATCTAGTTATTGCCAGAGGTTAGGAAATAGCATACCAAAGCATAATAACTCATAGCAGTTTATCCTAAAATTGAGTTGTTTCCATTTCTAAACCCTGAACACTTCTTTCTCTTAAATTTGTTCACAGCCTTGGGGTACCAGGAGGGTTTGTGAAAGTAGCAAAGAAATGTCCTAGGCATTAGCTGTCCGCTTTTCCCAGAGGGAGAAAGAGAAAGAATGAATGAGAGTGTGTATGTGTGTGTACACCAAGTGCTCTTGGGATGTGCCTCACTGATGGGCTGGCTGTATTTGTAGGATGGAGACATTTCCTGCAGTGGCTGAGAAGGTCCTCAAGGAGTTCCAGGTGTTGCTGCAACATAGTCCCTCTCCTATCGGAAGTACCCGCATGCTGCAGCTTATGACCATCAATATGTTTGCTATACACAACTCCCAGTTGAAAGGTAAGGAACGTCCAGTTTCTTTATCCAGACAGATAAAGATTAATCTAGTCCTCTCCTGTGTTACCGTACTATTACACACACCCCCAGTACATACGCACACGCGCACGCACACTTTTCCTCCATTGCCTCTCACGTCTTTAATTTACTCTCTGAAATCTGTATGACTATCTAGTGCTTGGGTGGGATGGAAGGAGGGAATCATGGGTATAGAGCTTAATTTGCAAACCCCGAGATGCTGTTGCACATCTGGTCATGCTGAAGGCAGCAGCAAGGCCTCTTGGAAGCTGCAGACCCAGAGCCTCTCCCAGGGGAGAGGCATTGCTGAAATGTTTCATTGCAGAGACCATACGCTTGGCAGAGATTGGGAATAGCTGTTTCTGGACTCATGTACCCTGTTTGTTCAATATGGAAGAGTCTAGCTCCCTATGGGATATCCCTTGTGGGAGCCTGCCAGGGAGTAAGAACAGAGAATTGATGAGCTTTGGTGACTCAAATCTGGAAGCACAAAAATCACCAGACCCAGAATTTGGCTAATATACTGGTATACATTCTGAAATGCTTTTCTGAACACTGGTTTTTGTTTTGCTTTGTTTTGTTTTTTAACACAGAGAAGGTAGGGGGGTATGGAGTCAGAGGGATTGCAGAGGGACTGATTGGCAGGAGTTTTAGACGTTCTGATGACCAGGTCACAGTTAAAGGATGTTACCAGATCCCTTCCCTTCCCTCCATCTCCCTTAGGTAAGGATGACATGATTTGACTTGATGGAAATATGTAGCATGGAGGTGACATTATTTTGTGTGTTTATTTGCAAGGGAGGTTTGGTCCATGCTGCCAAAGAATTTTTTCAAAGCATTGGCAGAGAATGTCTGGTCTCAGGGTTGGACAATTATCTGAAATGCCAAGAAGTAGGAATTGCCCTTCTGTTGAGTCTGTTCTAAAACAGACCTGGTGTTTGTGGACAGAGTGTGTCTAATTCACTTGTTGCACCTTTTCTTAGTGCTTTTTGTCACTCTGAAGTTGATTTATTTCCCTTCCCATTTGTATTTAGTGTTATGCCTCAACCTGCTGCAGGGGGTGTTCTCCCCTGTTGAGTGGGTATGGCGTACTTTCCCTTAACACTTGGCTCCTCCTGGGACTCTGAGATCCCCTGCTAGTTTGCCTGGGTTTTCAATCACATTGAGTCCTAGAGGGTTTCCTCTTCTAACGCTTCCTACTGCAACATTTAGAATTCTGAGCAGAAGGTGAGATACAGAGGCATAGGTGTCATTTTGAACTTGGCTAATTATTCCGGAGAACAGCTCTGAGAAAGCATCAGTCTGAGGGGTGGCGGTGGTTTCCAGGAAGGAGGAAATACAATTTGTAAAGTATAGGCGAATGATCCCTTTTTTGTTCTCTGTTGGATGGGCTACCAAGAGGGAAGCTCACTGGACTCAGGGAATGCCCTCCTATTCATTTTTCCGCCTCCTTCTAACAACAGCACGGAGTTCAGGGAGCTGCCTGTCACAGAGCTGCAGCCTCTGCCAAGGTATTGTTCCCGCATCAAGTGACCCATGGTCTCAGGAGGTGTGAATGTAAAGACACTGCAGCTCTTGCCTATGGAGCGTCTGTTGCTGGCAGCTTCTGCACCATGAAAAGGAATACACTGGCCTTTTCATAGGCCACCAGTGAGTCCTTTTCTTGAAGCTGTTGTAAAGTAAAGGTTAAGAAAATATGGGTGAAAGGAAGGTGAGATGGTGAGAACAGAAAGGAGGAAATAGATGGTTCCTCCTTTGAGGCCACGGTGCTTTTTCTAGGCCTCTTTTCCAGGGTTGGCTATAATGGGGACCTGCTAGCCAGGAAGGACATGTCATAGCCTGTGCTTGAGAGCCTACCATTCATTTCTGGCTTTGTCCTGATGCTCACCTCCACGAGGCAGCCAAGAGGAGTGTGAGCTGAGGTGGTCAGAAGCTCCAAGGGTGTTTGAGGGAAAAACAGCCTGGGCCACAGGATGTAACACTCAACTAGGACAGAGAGCTCTGTGGACGTGCTGCCAAGTACCCGGTGTGCAGCTGAGGCGGCCGTCCAGACCCCGCTGTGTGGGCTGCCATTGGGAGAGGGGTGAGCAGAGCACTCAGCGGGGCTAGTTGGTGGGAAGATGCACTTTTCCATTTCCCAGCACATGAGTCATCTTCTCTGGGCCCCTGTGCTGTGCTTGCACGGACAGTGGCAAGAAGGGGGTGTTGTGGCTGAGCAGCAGCATCTGTGCCGGGGGTGGAGAGGGAAGAGGGTTGGGGAGAGGGTAAAGATTTAAATCCTTCACTAATCAGCAGCAGTTTGAATCACATTTTTATGAGTAAGGAAGTGATAAATCAGCCCTGAGTGTTCGCCCCTCAAGTCCCGTCAGCCGGTGCCCTTCTGAAGGCTTCTCTCCAGGCCAGTCTGCTTGCTGTCAGAGTCGCCACCCAGCCGCGGGACCCTGGCTGTCTACAACCAGGAAGCAAGGGCCTGCGGCTGCCTGGCCCTCCCAGGTGCTCGGGGTCTGCAGTGATTTGGCAGTCACTGCAAGTTGACTTGCAAGAACATCTGGGCCATCATTTTTCTTTCCATTCTTTCTTGGACCTGTCCTTCTGGGTGGGTGTTTGCATATGTCAGTTCCTGGACTCTGTGGAGAAGGAACGTTCCAGCCTGAGGCAGAGGTGATCTCTGGCACCCAAGGCAGTCGGGATCTTCTCAGTCTGTGCCTGGCTGTCCCCCTGTAGATGTGGTGCTTGAGGAGAGCAACAGGGACAGCCTTACTAAAAAGTATGTCCTTTGGTGATACCTTGAATTCAGTTTTTTGTGTGTGTTCAGTGTTACTGTTGTGTAAGTCCTCTTTTCAAAATACCAATAGTCCAGGGATGGAAATGATACTAACACTTCCGCATGATTGCTTTCAAATGTGCTTTCCTTGGGGTCAGGAGAGACACAGAACTGTTTAAAAGCTTTGAACACCTCACAAGGCCAAATGGAGGGGAAAAAAATTAGATGGTGGTGAAATAAAGACATCTTTCCTCTTTCCTCGATTATAGTCTCCGCTGGAGCTCAGGGAGGCAGAGGTTGTGAGGTCAGATTTGCCCCCTTTCCCACAGGGGAAAATAAGTTGAGTTTTGCCACATCATTTAGCCAACTAAACTTTCAGGTCTTAGCAGTAATGATCTTAAAACTCACAAGTTTAGAGCTACTGATGGGGAGACCTTTATCTCCTCCTCTCATATGGGCCTATGCAAAAATCCTGCTTCGGTGGGACTACAAAGAGTCCAGAATTCTAATGCTCTACACTGAAGAAGAGTACCTGTTCACTAAAGAAATATGTCTGTTGGGGTCAGATACGTTTGAGGGATGTTTGGGAGCTCTTCACATAGTGCTTGGTATTTAATAGACATTCAGTAAGTATTCATTGGATGTATGGATGAGGGAGGCCACACGCTTCTGGGCAGGCCAGTCCTCATTGAACAATGTGTTCCCTTCCTGGCCTGTGTCCAGCATTGCTCTTTGGTGAGTGATGAGTGGTGGAGATAGGTGGTTCCCAGAGTGATGTCACAGTTGGTAATCTCTCTGCGGCATTCCTGAAGGGAGAAATGGTGCCTTCTCCATGCGCCTCAGTATTTAACACTTCGGTAGCCATCTGACTGGCTGACATGATGCTGGAGGGGAAACGGTTGATCTAAACCGCAAGCACTCCAAGAATTTTAATTTTTAAAAATTCTGTAATTTAAGGGAATAAAACTCTGGTTTCTTGAAGAGGAATAACTGAACCAATGTTTGTGGTAGGGCATCACTGAAACCCCACTGCATCCCCCATCTGTGCCCGATTTGCTCCAATGTGGCCTTTTTTTTTCCTCCCTGCCTTTTTCTCTCCCCCTCTTGCTCTCTCTCTTTTTTTTAAATATGTTCTATAATTCCTGAAATCAAAACCATCTCAGGCACACACTGTTTTATTTTACTGTATTATTGGATTATATTTCCTATAAATCATTGGATGTTATTCATTGGCCACCACTGGAATAACTTCCCCTTTCTGTGCCCTGGCCCCCTCTTTTCCTCCTCTACCAGTTCATAGTGTAAAGGCCTCCATTTCAACTTTGCAGAAAAGCCCTGGTGGCAGCAAGAGGGCACCCAAGAGACACTGCTTGTGTGTGCCGTTGTGCTCCCTGTTCTTAGGGAACACTTAGGGGCTGGGATTGAGGAAGGCTAGGCTGGCATTCCTTTCATTATCGTTTATGCTTGCTTTTATGGTTTGTTAGTAATCCTGGATTGCAGGAGATAAAAGGAGTGAGTGCCGTGTGTGCTTCCAGAGGGATGGGGAATTGCAGCTGTCCCTGTGGGATGGGTGAACTTAACCCCGATGTGTTGGATACTTGAGTTGGGAACTGCACAGCTTCATGCCACTGTTGTGTATGCGAATTGACTCTAGTTGAGGAGTTCGATACAGAGCCAGAATTTCTCTGTCTTCCAGCGTGTAACCACCTTAGAGATCTTCAGTAAAGCAGTTTGTTCCTCTGTGGCAGTTCACTTCTGTCCGAGTCTCTTACCCAAGCAGAATGTATGAAGTGCCTAATCCTCTGCTTGTCAGAACAGTTGTACAGGAAATCCACCTTTCATAAAGGGTTAGGCTTGAGTTTAGCTCTACAAATTGTCCTGTTCATTCCTCCTTGTCTGTCTCTGGTAATCGAAGCCCTTGGGCTGTTTCTCCTCAAGGATCCATGGGTAGATTTCTGCGGGTAATCAGCATTGCCTGACCATCATTTTCATGCTCCGTATAAGAGTAGATTAAGAAAGAAAGAGCCAGCCTGGCCAACAAATTGTGTGAGAAATAGAGTCAAAGGTCAGAAGAGGCTAGGCCTTAGAAGGCAGGCAGGCAAGAGGAGGATGTATCCCTCAGCTCTGTCCTCTGTCCCTCTGGGGGACTTATAACTATCAGACTGCTTAGCACAGACTTCTTCCCTTAGAATTCCCTAAAAAAGAAGAAAAAGTTAAGGAC